CTTTAGCAGAGACTCTTCTAAATTTTCATTGAGAATATCAATGTATACATCTGCTATCATTATACCGTCGATTTTGACTAGATTTCCCAAACCAGACCACGCAAAACATCCCCACACTGTTATGCTGCCTCCTCCATGTTTAAGTGTTTTTTTGATATTTTTGTCGATAAGTTTTTCGCTAGGCTTTGACCAGACCCGTGGTCGCTGTTTATGACCGAAAAGTTCAAATTTGCTTTCGTCACTCCAAAGGACTTTTTTCCAGAAATCCTCTGATTTGTTAACGTATTTTTTGCAAATTCCAGACGTTTGATTTTATTGGCCTTCCGAATCAAAGGACGACGCACTACAAAACTGTTTCTAAGTCCAACTTCCTGAAGTCTCCTCCGCACCGTTCGTTCGGAAATATTTAATTGTAGATCATAACTACTTATTTGAAACCTTGGGATATAAATAATATAAAATTCAAAACTTGGGATCTTATTAATGCTACGTCTATTTTACCTGATTTACTTGTATTGTCTTTATTTAAAAATATAACAAAACAAATTATCTTTAGGTTTAATAAATAAATGTGTTATTTCATCTGTATTCAATAGATATCATATTATAACATAAATGTGATTGTGGAATTAAATTAAATTACATGATTTGAAACTTTATACATATGTCCAAATGGTAAGTTGTTAATTTTTACAGGTGAGTTGTAGTGCTCGTTTTACAAACTCTTAAATTTACTAATTTATATCAACGAGATTTCTCTCATTAATTCTTTTGTTTTTATACATTTTTGGAAGAAAATATCTCGACACATTATTTCATGGGAAAGAGATGTTGCTCTTATTAAATACAGCAAGTATTTTGTTTCGTAAACTTTTCTCTCATGATGGTTATTTCTTTTACTTTGTAATTCTCAGTTAAAGAATTTTGAAGATGGGGAAGAAAAATAAAAATAGATCAAGAGATGGTCACTCGATGAATGGGACTTCAATTTCTTCCGATAATAAAAAAACAAAATTGGAAAAGAGGGGTGGGAGAGATTCTTTTTCTTCCTCTCCTCCTGGGATTAGACCTACTTGTGGGGGTGGTTCTGATTGGGGGGGGGGGGGGGATTTATTGTCTCCTCGGGGATGTCACCCAGGGATTCGAGAATTATTCCTGACGAAATTAATTAGAATGAATCCTCGAGGAGGGAATATATTGAATCACAAGCAAATAATAGATATAGCAAAAACTCTTATGCTCCTTATCAAGTTTTTGTGGAAACTTTGGGCGATAATGTCCTCTCAGTTGGTAATTTACACCCTTTATCAATAGCCAGAAAAATTTTAATTAATTTCAACAATTTAAAAATAAGCAGAATTAAAAAATTGGGATCAAATAATGTAATAGTAACATTTGAGAATTACAAAGATGCAAATAAATTTATAGAAGGTAAAAAAGAGCTACTTAATGATTGGTTTATTTATATACCTCACTTCAAAATATTTAGAATGGGAATTATAAAAGGTGTTGACCCCTCTATTTCATTGGAAGAAATTAAAACAGGAATCTCTTGGTTGAATAATCCTTATGAAATTATAAAAATGGAGAGATTGAAGTTCCGTTTTAAATAATCTAATTCATTAGAAGATTCGGAATCCATAAAAATTACCTTTAATTCGGGTTTTCTGCCTGAATTTATGAGCATCTGGAAAATTAGAATTAAAATATACCCTTTTATTAACAGAGTGAGAAAATGCCTAAATTGCTCTAGATGGGGTCACTCTTCGTGAGTATGTAAGGCCAGAACAACCTGTCCGTCTTGTGAAGAGAATCATTTGAGAGAAAATTGTAACAATCAATTTATAAAATGTGTGAACTGTTATGGCGAACACTATTCTTTTGACTTAAGATGTCCTGTTTTTAAAAAACTTAATCTTATTAACACAGTTTGTGCATATGCTAATATAGATAGAAAAATGGCAATTAAATTTATCAAACAAAATTTAAAAAATAAAATAAAGAAGTTTTTAGAACATGTCATTCATTGGCACATGTTAGGTAAGAAATTACAGAAGAAAATAATATAATTTATGAAAGTAATTAAAATTTATATCAGGATTCTGAATTGGACTTTGATTTGGTTCAAAATTTAGATAATATTAAAAAGAAACGTACTCAGAACATTTTGAAAAGCAATATTTACTATAGTAAAACCTCAATTGAATCTCAGGCATTTCATGTTAACATCTGTGGTGAAAGTTTGCTCAATGATCCAAAAATTAATAAAAATAATTTTAATATAAATGATTTAATATAAATGATATTTTGGTTGAATCGGATATGGCGACGATGTCTCCTCAGGATGCAGTCCTGACTCAGATCTACTTGTTGTTATTTGAGTCCAATGTTCCAAGAAACTTTAAACTTAAAAATATAGCAAAAATAATTTTAAATTATTTGTCAAATAAATAAAGGTAATTATTTAGAATAGGGGAGGCAGCATCGATGACCTTGACCTTGACATATGTTATCGAGGTCGTGACCCTGAGTAACCTCCGACAGGTTTTAACCGTCGCTCATCCTTCGTTAAAAAGTTATGAACAAAAAAAGTTTCAAAATTAATAGTTTTGAAAATAACATTTATTTGAAATTCGTAATAAACTTAATTACTATTTTCTTCAGTAATTTCATTAATTGAATAGAACTAAGCCATAATTTCAAAAAACTTATCAATTCTATCTGAATAATCATATTTTCGTTTGAAAATAAATTCAGCTAAATAATGTGTGTAATGATATTGTCGCGTACCAAAGCGAGGTATTCCATTGCGTGAACCTCTACCAACGGGGTGGGTGCGGAAGGGAGGGGCCGTAGGTCTCCCTTGCATCCCCCCCCCGTGTGTGTGTGTGTGTGTGTGTGTCCCTCCCGCACCCACCCCGTCGGTAGAGGTTTTCCCCAACAGTACAATCATAGCAATAGTACAATCATGGAAGTCGTGTGCTCCTGTGCAGGGGGGGTGTGAAAGTTACTTTGATTGAAAAGTTTAACGTTTCTGAACAGGGAAAGGTGTAGAATAATACTTAACATCATACATGTATAGCAGAAATAATACGTTAATTTTTAAACTTCTTTTGTTAATAACTTTTTAACGAAGGACGAGCGACGGTTAAAACTTGTCGGAGATTACTCAGGGTTACGACCTTGATAACATACGTCAAGGTCAAGGTCATCGGTGCTGCCTCCCCTAAATAATTACCAAAATAACGGTTCTTTTTCTTGTATATAAGTTTTAATTATTGTTATCTATTCAAATAGTAACATTTTTTAATTTAGTTAATTAAATTCATTTATTTAATTTCAATTACTCAATTTATTTAATTAAATGTTATGTGTTTCTCAATTTATTTAATTAAATGTTATCTTACATTTTATATTCAGACTGACTCAATCTTTCATGTTTTACCAATTTTCGGACTATAATTTTTATGTATTGACTCTTACTTCGCCCTTTATTTATTATTTTTATTTTTGTATAAAGAGTCCTTCTATTTGTTTATTAATTTAGTTAATTACAGAATTCAATGGACTGATAACATGACAAAATTATTGTTAGCAGAAATATAAAAAAACACAGAAACCTCTACAAACTTTTATAGAAAATTGAACAAAAATGTAATGTGATCAATAAATTTATCATAAATGTCATCAATAAATTCATCATCATTTTCTATGCATATATTATGTAAGATGTAACAAATAAGAATAACTAAGGGTATCATTTCTGTATTATACATATAAATATACTTCAATTTTTTAAACTTTCCTTTTAACATGCCAAAAGTACGCTCGATGACTACACGTGTTCTTGAGAGTTTTGTGTTAAATCGTCTTTGTACATTAGTTAAATGACCATTATCTCGATATGGAGTTAACATGTAATTTGATAAAGGATATGCTGAATGTGCCAAAAGATATTGATTTTGAAAGTATTTATTTTCATCTTGTACTATTAATATTATATCTTGTACTATTAATATCTAATGTCGCTTAAACGCCAAACTCTTGCATCGTGAACACTACCGCATATACCTGTAAAAACATCTATAAATCTTAATTTATAATCACAAATTCCTTGTAATATTATTGAATGAAACCCTTTACGATTAATGTAATTTTCAGGACTTTCTGTAGGTGCACTTATTGGTATATGAGAGCCATCAATTGCACCAATTACTCCAGGAAAATCATGTAATTGACGAAATTCTCTTTCAAAGAGAGCCATTTGATGAAGAGTTCAGGCCATTTTATATATCTGTGGGCATTTTCAGTTAGTAGTAATGCTACCTCAAATACACAATTCCAAACAATATCTTTGGATACTCCAAATCGATCCGCAACTGATCTAAAAAATTTATATATGTGTAGGTGTAAGTGTGTGTAGATGCTAAACAAACATAAATCTGTATACTCAACAAAATTAAACGATTTTAACACATATTGCTATTATAATTTTATAATAAAAATTTGCAGAAAAAAACAGAAAGATAATTTTGCAACTATTATAAAATTCTCTAATATGATAATTGATTTATATCAAGGAAGAATTAAAGGAAAAAATTAATCATATTAAAGACAAGACAACTGTTATATAAATCTGATTTCTTCACTAGCATACTCAATGTAATCTAAATAAATATAAGGCAATCAAAAGTCACTAAACTATTTCTTTCCAAAAGCTATATAATTTTTATGAAAGACAAATTTGATATAACAAATTTGATAAGACAAATATATAAAAGCTTAAAAAAATCTAAAAGACAAATAAAAGGAAATTGAAGGAAATAGAAAATCTCTTATATTAAATACTATAAATGTATTTAAAAAAAAAGTATTTCATATCTAAATAATATTAACCTATAAACTTCCTGATTACCGAAGAATCATAAAGTAATTGCTGTTTGCTTTCCAGGAGACATTTTTTCAGCACCTTGATCACGATACAAATGTTGTCCAAGATCTTGTACCAATCTTTCGTATGTACGCTTTTCTAATCGAAAATGTGATTTAAAATCTTTTCAAATAATAATACTATTTTACTGAAATTAATATAAATTTATATAAACCATTTATATAAAAATAAAATAATACAGTAAAACTATTTCTTCCTCACTTTTTCTTTTCTTTTCTTCGAAGTCTTACCTGTTAAAGAATATGTCAAAACAATATCTTCATAATAACGTGAAATTCTATTATGACATTCTCTTTCAGGTGGAAAATAATCATGTTCACACGCACGCATGCACGCACGCACGCACGCACGCACGCACGCACGCACGCACACGCACACACACACCATCTGATAGATTATTAAAAAATACTTCCAAAACCTTGTAAATCCATTTCTTTCCTGAAAGTGTTTAATCACAATTAAATATCAAGATATTAAAATAATTTAAACATAGAATAATCTAAACTAATAACATTATGTTAATTATATAACAAAAATGTTTGTGAATAAATTAAATAATTATAGTTAAATTTTTTCAATTTACAGTAATGCATTTTAAAATTACACGATATTTTATAATATTACGATATTGTAACTTTAAGTAAATTTAATTTTAGTATAAGTTAAAAAAAGCATATTGCGTCTCACAATTTGTAAAATTTGCGAAACTACTTTTTATTGCTTCTCTGTGATCTTAGAGATAATTCAATTCAACGTAAAAAGATCGTTTAGAAATAGGTTAACTAAAGGCCATCACACGTACAAAAATTTTAGTCGTAATTATAAGGCCATAAGCAAATCGGCCAATCACAGTCGAGCGTTTAAAAGCGCGAGAACTTAATTTTGATTGTGATTGGTCGATTTGCTTGCGACCTTACGATTCCGACTAAAATTTTTGTACGTGTGAATGTGATGACCTTAACTCTACACATGGCCACCGACGAGATATTATTAAAGACCGACATCCTTATGGGAGTTCGCGTCCTTGTTAATATTGAAGTGATTAAGAGTAAAAAACTGATAATATTGTACTA